CCGGGCTGGGGATTCGAACCTGCCACCTTAGGTGTATGTGGCTGGCGCCTTAGCCGCTTGAGCCACAGGCGCCGAGCCTGATGAGTTCGTTTTTAAAATTTTACTACTACAATGGTCTCTTAGTCCTTTTTAGACACTGAAACTTCTCTCTTGGGATGTAGAAGTCTCATTCACTTTAACATTAGGGTGATCAGACGTCCCGCTTTTTAACAGTTTGTCCCGCGTCCTGCGGCATTTTAAAAAAGTCCTGATTTTTGGAAAGAATGCACAAATGGTTGGGAGAACAGGAAGGGAATATACGGTTTTCAGCTCTCGTGTGGCTATTTCTCCAGAGTATGAGTTTTATATTATTTTTGTTAATTTTATAATGTTAAACTGTAATAATAACAAGTAATTGTTGAGAAGTGATAATCGAGAACTGCTTATCAAAGTTTGCATTGTTGTCAGACCCTGCCCTGTTCCATCACCTGCCCCGCCCCGCCCCCCCCCCCCATGTCCCGCTTTACCAATGTTAAAATCTGGTCACCCTATTTAACATGCGTAGTTACTATGGGTTCCTAGAAGATAACCTGTTTACATTAAGAAGCACAAGCAATATAACATAAATGAGTTAATAAGTGATTGATGTGGGGGTAGATGAAAGACTGTAGGGAGTGATGGGATTGTGATGAGCTCATGTTCCATCTTTGGGAGTAGTCCAAGGTTGGTTCCAGCTGATGTTGCCATGAGTTGTCAGATCTCTAATTTTTCTAAAGAAACTGCAATAATACATACTTTGGGGTGTAATCTTCCTATAGACGGAAACCATATAAATAAGCCTTTAAGTGGTTCCATTTTGTGAAGGCAAGTTTAAAGTCTTCTGTGAGTTAGAAAGGAAAAAAACCTGGATAGAACTCCTTATGTGGCTAAAGGCCTGGTCACATAGAAGTGATTAAAGACCTGGCTTCAGGCTCGGCGCCTGTGGCTCAAGCGGCTAAGGCGCCAGCCACATACACCTAAGGTGGCGGGTTCGAATCCCC